CCCCCCCACACACACACACACACTCACTCACAAACACACACACTTCATATCAGAGGTCCAAGGGGTATGTATTTTTCGCATCGAGATATCAGGAATTACAAAGCTATTAAAGCCGTCAAAAGCTTCTAACAATTCAAGAAATATTGAAACATTTCTTGCAACACTAAATAAAGAAATATTTATTGACTTAAGTTGTCGATACTTTGCATAAAAATTTACTCGTATGAATTTTCCCCGTATTTTTTCGTATTTTTTTACTTGTATGTATTCGTATGTTACTCGTATGTTACTCGTATGTTAGTCGTATGTATCCGTATGTTACTTGTATGTTACTTGTATGTTACCCGTATGTTACTCGTATGTTACTCGTATGTTAGTCGTAAGTATCCGTATGTTACTCGTACGTTACCCGTATGTACTCGTGTGTTGTTTTAGTCATGATCGTCATCAAGGGCAGTTTCAAACCAACCTTACAAAAAACAAACAACAATCAATTTTCCACAAAATCAATTAATAACAGTAATTAGGACAATTAAAAATTCTGCGGTATAACGCGTCATTAAGTAATTCCAAAACAAATTTTATCAAAACTCAGCCAGTTTTTCGTTCAGGATATAGGAAAAATCGAACAAGAAGCTGGTGGTGCGATGCAAAACTTCCCAAATGGGCAAGGTCTACCCGCGCGATCGGAACATGTCCGAAGGTGCGCAGCAGCTTTCGCAACAAGAGTTGGACCTACTGGACAGAGACATATTTAAACCTTTGAAATTAACGAACTTTTATCTAACAGATTGAAGGAAAGCAACAGAGGAAAGATCGTCAGTAGTATGCAAGAACTCTGCCAATATCTAGAAAATAGCTGAAAGAGGAATAAGGTAAATGTGTAGATGTAAATGAGGTTAATTTTTCTGCAATCAAAAAGCAAAATGGGCGGTACCATTTGACTTAACGAACCAGTTCAATCCTAACTACGACCTACTTCTCATGCGATGAAAAATATGTATAGAGCAATGCAAGTTATTAATCTAAAGAAACGATTTAAACAAGTAAATGCGGAATGTGTTATAAATGATAGAATTTACGAGTGGTGCGGAATTGTAGTGGCTGGTGAATTGTAAGTTTAGTGATGTATCTAAGTAAGCAAGAAGCAAATTCTTATGAAGGAGGTTATTTTGGCAAAGTGTTGTACCACAGTATATAATTATGACTATCACTCAGGTTGTCGAAACGTCAGCCACTACTATCGACAACAGTCTTTCTCAGGAACACACTTACACGGACGATCACATTATACGATCAAATATGTTGTAAGTTATGCACTGTAAGTTAGTCGTGTTATGGAATAACTAAAATCTTCAAAAACAAATATTAAGTAGATTGCAATGAATATAATTTACAAGGAAATAACATAGCTTTAAGGGTCTTTAAGGCAAAGAAAAGAAAAGAAAAAAAAAACTGAATGGAAAACAAAGGAAGATGGTAAACAGTCCATTTCAAGGATTATACAACCCTTGAGCAAAATGTCGCGCGCTTCGACTGAGTTTCGTGGACGAATAATCAAAGTAGGAAATCGCTAAATATGCGTTTTTAACGTGAAAATATTGAAATGAATTAAGTTCAAGCCTCAAACAAAGGCATGCTCCGTATGAAAGAGTTACTTTTTCGGATGAGTAGGTTGAAGTGGGACAATTACTGTTACGCGGAGAAGCGCAAGAACAACAAACAACAACAAAAAAAACGCTGATTAACTGAACCTGAAAGTGAACAAGTGATAAACTGCAGGTCGATTTCAAGGAATTGACAAGTGATGGGGTTTTATTCATGGTAACTGAAACGAGGTTGATTGTCAGAAACGCCAGAGCACGTCTGATATTGGTCGCATACTTAAAAAATTTACTGCAACATTGTTCTGGAAAAAAATTGTACTCTTGAAAACAAAATATAACAAGTCAAATCGGCAAAATAATTCACTGACGTCATGTTTTTGTAGATTTCACCTATTTCAGCGATTTACTAAACATGTGGTTCGTACAGATTACACGTGTATTTGACTTTAAAACGTGCACGCTTCGCAAGGACGCAAAGGCCACAACAACGTTAAGAAAACAGAGAAACACTCTTCATTGTTACGCTTTCCAGCTGCCCAGTAAGTAAGTTAACCATGAAAGTAAAACAAACCAACGCAGAAGAGAGATGCAAGATCAGAAAAATGCTGTGTAACCCAAAGGGTGAAGAAATGCATTTATGTGGAGACACCAGCAATGCACCACAAGCACAAGAAACGCAAAATGAAAACACAGCCACCCTATGTAGCGGATTCTTCATGAGCAAGCGAGTGTTGGCCTAGGGAGTAAACAAACTGAGCCAACAAGAGATCGCCCGGCTGCAATTAGACATTTTCAAACTCCTGGATTTCAACGAGATTCTATTTAACAGAATGAAGAGCGACGATTATCAAGGAAAAATCATCACTATTCTCAACGAACTGTGAATACTTCTGTTTCAACTAGTCGACAAAAATAAGTGCTGGACATTTAATTGCAGAGTTAATATTTTTCACATTTTTGTATCATTTTCTTGGTTTATTTTACCTGTCGCCATGCCATCGATAAATATGATTTTTCAGCAATATCTTATAATTGACAAATAGTCACAACCTAGCCTCGAGTTTTGCCTTTCGAAACAACAGTGTATACGTTTCGGCTACACTGTAATCCTATTGCTTTTCTTATATTATTTATTTTGGTACTGCGAGATTAAAGCGATAGTTCTTAAAACTGAATAGTCTCACTAAAAGAAAAATAAATAAAAATAAATAAATAAATAAATAAAGATAAAAGATATCTGGAGGAGATGCTTTAGCTGGCTGTATAGTGCTCAATACGTAAAGTAGAGCGTAAATAGAAATAGAAAAATCAACAACGAAACAAAGTTTCCGTGACTCCTAGTTTCGTGCTTTCGCAATCATCATGACCGTCTGATGATTGCGAAAGCTTGAAACTACGAGTCACGGAAACTTTGTTTCGTTGTTGATTTTTCTATTTCTAAAGATAAAAGATAAAAACTTATATCAGGAACGACAACAGTAGATTTTAGAAACTTTTTTCGCCGTTCTCCAGACCGTTCAAACCCCTTAAACGCTATCTCAAGTGACTCACAAGGAGTCGTAAGTCTGACATGGAACACTATATTTCACTCCAAGTATTGAATTTGTACGAGTCGAGTCCGCTTTAAATTATCATTTAGTTAACGCTTTACACCCTACCATCAGAATGCATAATCTCCATACGATTCTCTGTAAGTTTCCTAAGTCTTCTCTATAAGTTTCCTAAGCTGCTGAAAAGGAGAATTTGTTTAACAATCAAGACCTCCTTCGGTTGGCGATCATTTCCTTAATTCTTGAAACCTTAATGTGTGATTAGGGGTGAGATGGTAAGGAGAAATCAAATATAAGTCAAAGGAATCAAAGGGTTAATATACCCCTTCAGACGGCTGGTATGTCGGCTGATAATGTCCGCGTCCGAGATATTACTGTGGGTAACTCCACAGACATGCAGTTCTTCACCCTTTAATTTGATCAGCATTTTTTTGTTCTTGCGTTTCTGTGGCTCATTTATTTATTGGGGAGCTATGCAGCGCACAGTTGCTGTTGAGAATTTCTCTGTTTTCTCATCGTTATTGTGGGCCTTGCGTCCTTAGCGCGCACGTTTTAAGGTTAAAAACACGTGTAATATGCACTACCCTCGTGTTCAGTAAGTCAAGGAAATGGATGAACATCTTGACGTCATCAATGATTTTGTCGATGTTTTTTTCTTCGGTTAGTTTTTGAAGCGAGCAATGTCTTACAATATCGCAATAAATGCTAAAACTATACGTCACGAATGGAGAAGAAACCAGAGTGATTTTTTGTAGCGTTAGGCATGCATCATACTTCGTTAGATCAATGGACCCAATAAATCAAACAAGCTAAGTTTTGATTGTTCCATTGAAAAAAAAAAAAAGTAACGCCCTTTCTTCGACTTTTGCTTCTCTAAATAACGGTGTAGACCACCCGCTAACCCTTTTGCATTTCTTTGCTTATTCTGTATGACAGTTAGATTTAAGCGATAGTTTTAAACTGAGTAGTTACGCTATAAACTCGTATCAGAGTCGACAACAGCTTTATTAATGAAGAACCGTTACATGTTAACAAAAATATTAAAGGCATTGCTTTAAAATACGGCTCATTGAATACAATCAAAAAATTATATAAAAATTCGGCAAATATTGACTCGGCTAAAAATAAGTGTGCAGCACCTATTTATTTCAACTGGGTTGAATAAAAGTATTCAAAGTTCGTTGAGATTAGCGACGACCCTTACTTGATAGTCACAGCTCTTCATAATGTTAAAAGAGAACTTCGCCTTTTTTACTTAGTTTAAAACTATCGCTATAATCGAGAAAAGCGATAGGATTAATGGGTAGCCGAAATATATACACTGTTGTCCACAGAGGTAAAAACCGAGGAAAAGCCATGACTATTTTGCAATTATAGGATAATGCTGAAAAATCATATAACCAAGAAAATGATACAAAAATGTGGCAAATATTGACTTTGTAAATAAGTGCACAGCACCTATTTTTGTTGACAAGGTTAAACAGAAGGATTCACAGTTCGTTGAGACTAGTTATGATTTTTCGTTGATAATCGTCGCTCTTCATTCTGTTGAATAGAATCTCGTTGAAATCCAGGGGTTTGAAAATGTCGAACTCCAGCAAGGCGATCTCTTGTTGGCTCAGTTTGTTTGCTCCTTCGGCCAATACTCACTGGCTCATGAAGAATCGGCTACATAGGGTGGCTGCGTTTCCAGCTTGTGTTTCTCCTGGTTGTGACTTAGTAGTGGTGTCTCCACTTAAATAAGGCTCTCCACCCCTTCGGTTAATAGGTGTTTCTTCACTCTTGCGTTTCTGATCCGCGGTTTTTTTTTCCTCCATGCCTAACGTATTCACTAGCGATCTCGACTGAGAGCGTACAGATGTTGAGGCTTACTCTGTTTTCTCAACGTTGTAATGGGCGTTTCTTGAAAACGAAGTGTGCACTAAACACACGTTTAATAATTGAGAACCGAGTAATACGGTGTCGCTTTAGACAGGTTCGACTGTTTATTTTCTGATCTTTTAAGACGGTGGCAAAGGTTTAAACGTGACGCGTGTCTAAAGGCAAAATTAAAAGTGTGACGCGTGCCTGAAGGCAAAATTAAAAATGTGACGCGTGAATCAACTTCCCTTAGTTGGGGAAAAGGCCCTGGGAACGAGGTTGACGCGTGAATGTTACAGAACCAGCGTGAGGCGTGATTTGCCTCACGAAATATACGTGAACCGTGAATTTTGTTCTTTCATTTCGTGAAATGAGTGTTCTCAAGTAAGCCGGTGCACGCTTAAAAAAACGCAAAAGAATCGGAAAACAAATCATCGAAAAAAATCGGAAAATAAGCGAAAAGCAGATCGGATAAAAAATAACTAATTGACGTCATGATGTTCTGTGCGTTTCATTTGTTTCAACAATTTCTGAAAACGAGGTTATACAAATTACTCTGGAGGGTCTGATGGAAAGTCATCTTTTGTCAGATTTTTTCCTATACTTTTTCCGGTTGGGTTTTGCTCTACCGAGATGCTATAACTAAGCATTGCGATATCATGTAACGGTGCTATAACAATTTGGAACCACATTGATCTTATTTCAATAGCCAGAATTGTTGTTATACATGTTTTGTTTTGTCTTTTTTAACAATGACACGTGAATCTATGGCTCCCGGTTAGCTCAATGGATAGAGCGCTGGACTGTTGTGCGGGAGGTAGAGGGTTCGAGCCCCGGCCGGACCAACACTCAAGGTCTTTAAATAATTGAGAAGAATATGCTACCTTTCTATAACATCAAAAAATGGTTAGATATTCTAGTCTTCTCGGATAGGGACGAATAAATGGAGGCCCCGTCTCCTGCAGGGTTAGGGGTAGGAGACGTTAATTTCCCACGCACGAGATTACTGTGTGATGGATGTCCTCCCCTGGGGTGGGATGGGTGGGTTAGTACATTAATTGTAGACCGCTGTTGATCTGTCATTGTAAATAGCGCTCTATAAGAAATAAATTGTTATTACAGGGCGTAAAATTAACTTTTTTTTCCGGTAGCCACTTGGCTCCTAAATATTTTAAAGTGGTAGCCAATTCCAAAAAGTTGGTGGCCATTATGACACACACACACACAAAAAAAAAACATTTTTACCCTGTCACTGTACTAGATAGATTACCATATCAGTGATACAGTCATAAAAACATCAAAAATGAGCCCGCCAAATTCGCACGAGCTACAAAGAGAACACTAGAATGGATCATATACAACATTATAGGTTACCTAAATCCAAGATGGCGTCTAGTGACGATAGATTTACGTTCGACATCGTGCATGTGCTGCGTTTTGGAAACGAGCCTAACGAGGAACTTTGCTGCAGATTTATCTTTACAAATCTTCAATAATCACTAGATCTCTAGTTAAGGTGTGATTAGAAATTCTAGTCGCCAATTTGGCGACTAATTTGGTCGCCAAAGTGAAAAATTTAGTCGCATTGGCGCCTGTATTAGGCGCAATTTTACGCCCTGTATTATTATTATTGATTAAAGCAAATTAAATATTGTCTAAGTCAGAATTAAACCTCTTGTTGATTACCTTGGGTTTGTGTCTGAGTCGAATGTTACAAATCTGTTGCGTGAACTTTTACTGGTCAGTTCTGTAGTGATGTTACTGGTTGCAAGACAACCAATGGTGTCACGTCTTAACTGCAGCCAATAACATCACGGTATGACCAACAAATCAGACTTCACGACCGGATGTGAATCGGCTTTGAAAATTTAGCCTGGCTAAAATTTACATCCTAGAAAAATAACACAACATTGACCACCTCTAAAAAGGTACGTAAATGTGCGGAAATAAAAGAAAACAAAACGTTGTTAAATTAGTTAACGTATGCTTACCTCTATGACGCTTGTTGGAAAGTGGGCAAGCTCTGCGACATGAATACCGAAGCTTTGATCACACACACCTAAAAAAAAAACACAACAAATTATCAATAAATTTGACGGGAAGAGGGCGATTTTAAAAGTGAAATTGATGAGGGACTAACGAGATTTTAAAATTTCAACGAAGCGTGTTTTTTCTTTTTTTTTTGTTTTTTTTGTTTTTTTTTGTTTTTTTGTTGTTTGCTTTTTTTTTCTTAGACCATTAAAGGTTTTTTATCATAATTTTGTGAATATTCTTAGGGATTTTAAATAAAATATTATTTTATTTACTATTATCATATTTACTAATATTATATTACTACTATTATTATTACTATAAAAAATGACCAATTGTTTTATAGAATTTTAGAAATGAAAATTGTTATTATTAGTTATCGACAAGACAGTTTTCTAGTGTTCATATTCAATATCTAAGATCTACCCTTAAGAAGTTGATTTTCCTGATGTAATAACTTTTTTATTACTTTTAGCAAATAAATATTTTATCTATTTAAAAATATAAAAAAAAACCCCAATAAATTTGACGGTTTAAACTTTCCATTCCACTGTAAAATTATTATTAGAACTAGTACATTGCTAGCGAGTTCGTTACGTCTCTAATCCTAAATAAGTGAAGTAGTTCTGTCAGGGGACATATTCTTAGAGTGTTTCTCCGCCCATTTTCCCTGACCGAATTGGAACAGTTAATGTTCAGTAAGGAGAACTGGAAAACCAAGAGAAAAACCCTTCCGCGGAGGAATAGGAGCGACTACAAACTGAACCCACATGTGACCTCAGGTCCGGATAGTTGAACCCAGGCCCCAGCAGTGACATGCGACTGTGCGCAATGCCTGCGACTGAACAGAAAGAGAACAGCTGACCGCATAAAATATAATATCGAGGACGTCTAAGACGCCTAGTTCATGTAAGAACTTATATTGATTTCTGTTGCATGAAACAAAGAGAAGTTCTGCTACTCCTCTCCAATAGAAACCTAGTCCATTGCAGAAATTCTTCAAGTTTCCCTCTAAGTTTTCCAGTACCTGTCAATACTCCTCGGTGGAGAGAGGAATTATGTCTGGGAGTAAAATTTCTTGCCAAAGAACACAACTAAATCAAACGGCAAGAGTTCGAACCTAGACCTCTCTCTCCACCGCCGAACAAATTAGGACTGGAGTTAAGTTTCTCCCACAAGAAATAGACATTTTCTTTTCCTCCAATTTCGTTGCTCACCGGGTTTAACTTTATACAAAAGCGTTAGAGTCCCACTGGAGGTCATGGCAGTGACGTGGAGGTTGGTTACAGTGGAAACTTCATCTGCAAGAGCTGTAAGCTCATGGAAATGAGTGGCAAAAAGACAGAAGCACTTGATGTTGGTGGCAATGTAGCTGAAAAGAAATGTTGCAAATGAGATATGCGCTAGCTAGACAACAGCTCAACTAAAATAAAAGGTAACGATAGGTGTTACGGAAAATGGTGTCTTTCTAGCGAAACGGGTCTAAAACTTTCAAATCGTTTCGTACACAGTCAACGCGGTAATTTGGAAACTGTGTTGTATTCTCAGGATAGAAATATTAACGAACTCGTACAAGCTTCTTTAGAAAGAATAATCAAGTTATGTTAATAACGAACGATGCGAGTCAAGTGATCGCTTGGAAACGACCACGTTACAGAAAATGCGGCTTTACGATAAGCTATAGACAACAAACAGACCCTCATTTTCGGCGATATCCGTCGCGCGAGTAAAAAAAAGTAAACTTTTTCGTACATCTCATTCCCGCGTTTCCGTGTTCCATGCGGCGCAGTATCATTAATCCCTTTCTTTTGTTTTTATTTTTGTTTTTTGTGATTCGCGCGACTGAACTCGCCGAAAAGGAGAGAATGCTCGTCGTTTGGATATGCTATATCCTGGCTGAAACAGGTTTACTGCTAACTCCTTACTGTGATATTGCCCAAGCCAGTCCAAAGCCGTCGTATGTTGACGTTCCCCTTCCTAGTTCATCGATAATGATGAGAGAGTTTTCAGTAGCAGACTAAAGAAGAAAGAATACCAATAAAGAACAGAAGTAAAGTTGTCAAACCAAAATTAATTCGAACAAATAAGGGGGTATTTCTAAAGAAACTGTGCTGCTTCGTCGGTTGGGGGGTTTAACAAGATAATTTTGTCTTATCAACTGAGTTGATAATTGACCACTGCAGGGAGCTTCCATAGCTGGCGTTTCGAGCGCTAGCCCTTCGTCAGAACGAATCATGGCGCGGGGCTAACGCTCGAAACATCAGCTTTATAAATTCTGTACGGTGGCCAATTTACATTCTCAAGTCAGTTGATAACGCCCAATCATCTTCTAACTTCGAACGAACCGAAAGATATAAGTTCTTACAGTATTCTTTCTGTTTGATCTTCGCTGATACAAGCACCAGGGGGTCATGTGTGCCCTAGAATTCCCCCTTAGCCACGCCCTCCTTAATTGTAACACCTACACGCATGCGCTGATGTTCTCAAAACAGAGACACTACAGATACATAAAAGAAAGTCCTTCACAAAGTCTTCCTGATTGACTCAGGGTAATTCTTTGCTCCCTGATGTCCCTGAATAGAAAATTTTCCCTACCCTCAATATGGAGGCAGTTTCCAGCATTTCAGACATAAATGTAGAAACTCCTTTCAGCTGACTGTCTCCAGAACCCACTCGGGCTAAAATACAGTCTGTGATGGAAATTTCTGCTGAGCTACATGGCACAAAACAGCCAAGCTGGGCCATTAATACAATCACTCCAGTCTAACAACAAAAAACAACAAAATAAACATCAAGTTATGACATAAAACAAGCCATACTACAGATCAAGGCCCGAAATTAACCATTTGACTCCTAAGATCTAAAAGTAAACTCTTCTCACTGTCTGTCACATATTTCAAGTAATGAAATTGTAACGAGAAATGACTACTTTGTTACCCCTTGAGATGAAAGTGGTAGAAAAAAAAAATCCTTGATCGCCCTAGGCGCCCGGCAAAGTGGCAAATAATGGTTGCCAGCAGTAAATTTCCATTCACCAATTTATAAACTAGGACTTACATCGCCAATAAGTTGAGCCGAAACTCCGAGCAAGAGAAGATGTTTATTGACCGAAGACAAGAGACTTGCATAAAAAGAACAAGCAGGCAAAAAAAGGGGGACAAAGGTGCCGCGCTAATTATGCGCCAACCGTGTGACAACAAGGTGAACTAAACAACAGCGTGCATACGAAGCGGAAAAATGAAGCAGACTAAACGACAGTGTGCACAATGCGTCACACCATGCAAGCCAATGGCAGGAACTAAACAACAATGCGAAATATGGCGCATGGTAATTTGACCTTAGGAAAAAAAGATCATTCACTCTTGACATAGTTAGTAGAGGGGACTACACTACTAACTATGCTCCTAACAACAATTTGCAAGAAACGCGAGTCATTTTTTTCATTTTTAATACATTTGAGAAATTTAAGTCATGTTGTGTTGTATTTGTGCGCGCCTGTATTAGCTGCAATCTCCAGCCCCACAGACTGATGCATTCACTTTGATGAAAGAACAGATCAGAAAACACAAATTGACTCCTGAGTCAAGAATAAAAATTACCATACCTGTAATTTGAGCATTGTAATGATACTTGCATTGTAACAAGTGTATGCAGTAATTGTGTTTTGTAACTTTAAATTATCATTATCAAAAAAAAAAAAAATACCTGTCTGATGTAAGTAGATTTACCCCCCATATTAGGGCCAGTTATTATCAAAAATTCTTTGTCACCTGTCAATAAACATAATTGTAATAATAACAATATTTGAGAACAAGTAACATTCTTAGTCATATATTTTTTGTTTGATAGATAATTACAACTTCCACAGGGCTATTTTCTCCTTTTTTTCTTTTCTTTTTGGACAAAGTCCCGTATCGATTAATTTAAAGCTTCAACATCCCCCTCCCTCCCCCCTTCCCCCCCTGGCAAGCCTCCAGACATGAACTTTTGAAGATTGGTTTGCTCAAATTCCAGCCTCCCACAGGACCAAAATTGAGTTCAAATGCTCTATCCAAGTGCCAGATTTGATGCACATTTTTTTTTTTCAAAAGGCAAAACCTGCTTGAAAAGTGAACTCTTGCCCTCTTGTTCTGTCCACTTTGTGTTCACAGTAAGTACAAAAAATTGTATCAAACTTGCCTCAGATTCAGTTCTCTAGGCAGTGTTTAACACGTGCAGTTAAATAACAATATTATATCTCCATGTTGTCAAAGCCCAAGAGTTTTATCCCTCACAAATCAATAAGTCCATTCGTTATACCTCTTTCAAGCTTGAGATCATTGGAAATGAAAGCCACATCGTCTTGAACTTCAAGACAGGGATGTCTTGCCATGTCAAGTTTGATGTGACCCTCTCCTGTTAAGTTAAATAACATAAAAAGACTCACACAAGATTAACTTGGGATGGTATCTGGACAATATCAACATTGAGAATTATATGCACGACAAAAAACAAATTAATAAATATGTTAGCAAAAACTCAGAATTAAATAAATTTTATTTGAACTGCAGATGACAAGGAAAGAAATAATCCTTACAGATGGATTGCAAATTTAGCAATTGCAGATAAGAAGGCTGAAAAAATTAAGGGTTTGATGGGATTTAAACCTGTGCCTCCCATATATGACAACCAACTAGTATTTGGATAGAATGGGTTCTTGAATTTCATTGAAGCCTAATTTCTTTTTTCAGGGTTCTTTTCTGCAATAGCTAACGTTGCAGTCTACATGCTAAAATCATTTCTTTGCTTGCTTAGAAATGTAATCATAACTGCAAATAACAAAATTAAAACATTGACATGAGCATTACTCAAAGTCAATACACTCAACTGCAAAAACGTTGATCTCTAAAAGCATAATTCATGGACCATGAGATCGAAAAGGTTTATGGCAAAGGCTTGTGCAGATACATAATCAGTGACTCACTTTTCATGAAAAGCCTTTGTTATGATAATCCTATTCTTCCAGGAAAGCATGGATAGCTTCCATCATTTACCACACGCTTATGGTGGTTATTGTGTTTAATTAAGTCTCAAAATGTCTCATTGTTTATTGTACATACTAAACACTTTTTGTTTTTGTAATCGAGTGTATAAAGGGAACTTGAGAAGTACAGAAAGACCAGAAAAGAAGTTGTGATTATTTTGACTTAACCTTTTGCTCAATTTAGAAAGAGGCAAAAGTTTCTTGAACCAATAGCAGGGTGAAGGAAATTATAATGAATGGATTATGTCTGAATGAAGCTCAAGAATGTTCTAAGCAGGGAAGTTATAAATATTATTAATGATGACATCATCTTGTTCTTAGACTTACCTTTTGAAGTAATATTTGGACGGATGAATGGAATAGGAGCATTAGCTGAGACATGTGCAAAACTGAGAAAAAAAAATTAATTGCAAACATAATTAGAAAATTGCACTATCAGTTATCCATTATAGTTTATAGCTGGGTTTGTTAGTGGATACACCTAACTACCCTGTGCCATGGATTGATGATTATTACTGAGAAGTCACACCCACCCTTAATAAGTCAACAGGCCATAGTGACAGTGGCCAACTCAAAAGCTTTGCTACTTTGGTCACTGTGCACATTTTACTTTTGATTATTGATGTAATTTACTGTTTTTTATATATTCTGACTTTAATAACCTGTAGTCACCTCTTGAAATAGTGCGAATAAAGAGTTTCCTTCCTTTCCTTCCATAGTTGCTGACCATTAACTTACACATACTAATTACTCAGGGGTGCACACAGCCTAAAGTCTTGTAGGCCTGGGCCTACAGTTTTTTTTTTCCCTGCCCACTTGGCTTTTATAATGTGACTCTTAAAAATTTTTTAACAAATATTGAACTTCCCTAGGGTACAGGCCTACAACAAGTTGAAAAGCTGGCTATACACCTGGAGGGACAAGAGATAAGTTTTGACTGTCCTTCACAATCAGTAGGAGAGATTCAATCACAGATTGACAGAAAACTTACCTAATCAAGGCATCAAGCTGAGCAATGATGTCACTTAGCATTTGCATTGGCTCACTGTATCCTCCTGTCACAAAATAAAAATTTTTTTCAAGAGCCACAACACATGCATGTATAAATGCTTCATGTGTCGCCTTGTGGACATTCCCTATCTCTGCTGATTTGAAACAGCTGTAACTGACCCCATTCTCCTCTCACTTGATGAAAGTTGAAATGTTGTTTTTTCTTTTATACTTTTTTTGTACCAGTCTCCTTCCAGAGGAGAGAGGACGGTACCTGATTCTCATCAAGGATTCAGGCAGTGTTTGTCCAATTCTTATCCTCTGTTTCTCATTTTTTTTCCATTAGGCTTGAGACAAGCAACAGGGAATGTACATAATTATAGCTATATAGTCCTCAATGTTTTAGCTAAGTTTAAGATGCAGGGAACCTCAATTTTATTCAACAAAAACAAGGAGGTATGGACACATGCATACATACCAGCCACTTTTATCACTTCATTAGCAAGTTTACTCTGCACTTCATTGTAAGTCTCCTTAAAAGCTTGAAACTGCTCATTGAGTTGCCGTAGTGCTGAATTATTGAATCTTATTCCATCTTTTCTTGTGTCTATCGTTGTAAAGCGCTTGTTGTTTCTCAGGGCCTTTTCTTCCTGTGGTTCGCAGACACACACACAAAAAAGGAAGACTGAAATTCATGTATTGCAACCATTTGCTGAGTAGTGCACATTTGGACAACACAAGGTGTAGTGTTTAGACATTTCGTTACTGTTATATAGAGTTATCTATGCGCTAAGAATCATGGTACTGTAACATGGCGTGTTCGCTGGTGTAGATTAAAGAAACCGTTGAGTCTATCTGCGCTTATCTGGGTATTAACAGGCCACCATTAAACAAGATTTAACCCCAACGCCCATTGTTTTATTGTCCACAAAGAGAAACTTACCTTTTTAGTTATCCTAAAGAAATAACCATACTGGTTATTGGTTTCCAGTTTTATTGATTTTCCTGCCTCAAGACCAAGATCTCGTGCTGCCTATATAAAAAAGAGAAGTTAAAGTTGGAGAGAAGTTTAAATCAACTAATTGTATACCTCTTTTTTCCCTGAAAATAGAAGTTACTTTTCTTGTGAAAGCAGTCATTAATTAAACTAATATAAGCTTAAAACTAACCTTGTTTAGTTCTACTGGTATCTGCTCTAAAATTTCATCCATCTTTTCTCTACACTCTAAAGAAAAATGTCAGCCTTGACATAAATCAACTTTTTTCTCAAGAAGGAAAACAAGTGGATGCTTTCTTGTACAGTTACTGTAATTTCCGGCCATTTACCCGCGGGTAATCTGTTGATTTTGCCTTAAACATGCCCCACTACGGGTAATAGGGAGGTGCCAGGTATGTGACAATTTTAAAATCTACTGGCAGTTGAATTAAAGAAAATTCTCACCTACCTGCATTTCCACCTCTCAGATGAATTTTATTGTATTGAGAGTGCCACAAAGCGGCACGAAAACATGATGCCAACTCAAGTTTATTTCACGCTCAATTAGTTGCACGACGAACAAATTACTATCAGCACGCGTGTGAACAAAACCTTGATGGCAACAAAAATAAACCAGGGATAACCGGCGCATCAGTAACAAATTTCCAGTTAACACTAGCTTCAGCTGAAGAGAATTTTCCTGTTTTAAGGGACTTGCATTTAATTGTTAGGCCCAGTAGAACCAGAGATATCGATTTTTTTGAGAAAGCAACATGGCGCTGAACATTCGTTCGCACAAAACGTGGCCAAGAATTTGAATTCTGTCAAGTATGCAACGTTGTAAATTCTAGAGCACATTTGTATAAATTTCCTTTGTTTTAAAGGTGTGGGTTATCCACCAGTGTGGATAATCTGTTGACTTTTTTTTTCGCTGCATGCAATAATTGGCTGGTGCAGGTAATCGGCCGTGCGGGTAAATGGCCGGAAATTACGGTAATGAGTCTCATAGAACTTTGAAAAAAAAAAGCAAAAGGATATTCCCTTCAGAGAGTCTCTTCCATCAAGAATCAAATAATAACATAACACAGGAAAGTAGCCCTAAGAAAATTATCGTTAGGCTAATTTCATTTGGAAAAATAATTACTGGTACTACACTTTGTGATGAAACTATGAAATTGTAAAACAAAATCAGAATGCTAATTAAAACAAGAATGCTAATTAAAACAAGAATGCAAACCATACCTTGCAATCCTTCATCAAAAGAAGCTTTGATCAAATACTCATGGTTCTCCACCTGATCGAGATCTACAGTGGTCTCCACTAACTCGATGAACTTTTGAAAATCATCTATAAGATCCTATTGTACAAATGAATAAATTGCTGCTCTAAGAGTATTCTGTAATTTGTTACTGATTTTTATCAAAGCTGCAAATATGCTGTGAATTAAGGTATTATGAATATGACCTGGATATTTCAATTACCAGCTATCCTTTGAGTTAAGCCAGCAGTAAGGTTGATGAGATATTATATATTTATATATAATTATATACATTTATGAATATTTATTCACGGTAGC